GACTTGTCCACTCTCTTTTCTGTATCTCCCTCTCTAATGCCTTCTTACTCCAATCCTTTTTCATTTTGAAAAGGAGAATCTAGTAACTTAAATATAGTGTTCCTGCAGTGAACAGTTTGGAGTACTTCACCTTACTTGACCTCTTTGTAATATTTGATGTTGATCATTACCTCTTCTTTGAAACTGTCTTTTTTCTTGGTTTACACGACAGACTTCCCATCATCTTTGTAAATCTCTGGCTGTTCCTTCTCAGTCTAGTTCACAATGCCTCTTTCTTTTCCCCTATTTGAGTGTTGACTCTTCTCAAGAGTTCATTTTTGGCTCCCTTCTCTTCTTTCTCTCTATGTCCCATATGGGGATCTCACTCTTAGCATGGCTTTAGTTATCCTCTGTACACTGATGATGACCAAGTACACATCCAGCCCAAACTCCTCAACAACCACCCTTGGTGAAAGAAGAAATGGAATAATATTTTCAAAGTGTTGAAAGAAAAAATATAAACTTAATATTTCAGGTTAGGCTCAGACCATCTAATGCACACTCTGAAAACACTCTTAAAGGAAATTCTCCAGCAAGAAGCAAAAAAAAAAAAAAAAAAAAAAAAAAAAAGATATGAAAAAGAAATAAGTTAGTAAAATTTATTATCTAAATAAGCAATAAATAAAACAACAAACATTTATTAATTCACAATTTTTACTAGAAAATGCCAACTTGAGGGAGGTTGATGTTAGAATCCAAAGATAAGAGCTTGCTAAGGCATTTCTATTGGAAGTGAAGAGAATAAGGGGAATATAGATAAGTGCTTGAATATTATTATGGGAAATAAATAAATGAATAGTATATATAAGAATTGGTCTTAATAAGTTGAGATAATCAGAAGATAAAAATCATAATGTATAATTTTTAAACCAGCAGTGTCAAATTTAATCTATTCAATGGAAATTAGGAAAGAAGGGGACCAGAAAACACAAAAAGAAATACTGTATGTGAAATGGAAAAAGATGGCAAATAATTTCTAACAAATCATTAAACTTGTGTGAGTTGGTTAAACTCTTTTGGTAAGATAGACTCTCAGCTTAGATTTTGAAAAGATGAAATTATATGCTATTCACAGAGACACATGTAAAATGGTAATGTTATAACAATTCCTGCATTATGTATGTGTAAAAGAAAATCTAACAAAGGGTACTTGTAACAGTAAGTAATAAAAAAGAAAAAATCAGTTGACCCTGATTTTATTTTACCTCATTATAACTTTACATAATAACTCACTAATTAAAAGACTGTAATCTCTGTTTTTACGGAACTTGTTTCTATTCTGATTGATCCTAATATATTATAAAGCATGAAATTGTCCTGGTGTAACTTTTTACTACCATTCCCCCATGGGGTAAAGTCCTAATCTTTTATTCAAGACCTTCCTTCACATTGCCTCCCAATACAGGCACCTGCCCCCAACAATTCCTGCTTTAGGCAAACAGAAGGGTTCACATTTTCCCAAACTGAACAGTATGCTTGGTCTATTGGCAATTTTTGACTAGAACTTCCTTCTTTCTTTTCTACTTGTCCGTTAAGACTTAGATAAGGTGTAATCTCTTCTATGGTGCTTTCCCCCTTATTCTCCTATAATTATGTATAGGATATCATATCTCATCACGTCACATTAAATTACTTTGTCTGTTTCCATGACTAAACTGTATGTCACTAAAGAGCAGGAACTATGTGGTCCCAGGTTCCAGCATGATGCCTGTGATACAATAAAATATAATGACTAAACATCCATATCAACAAATATCATCTAGGCACTGGACGATACTAGATTCAGACCAATAGGCAAGAAACAAAAATTTAGAACATAGGTTCTGTGTATAAAGTCTACAATGAGTGTGTTTTGTTTTTTTTTCCAGTTTAAAAAAAAGGAGGGGGGGGTCAAATAAAACAAATTATTATTTTTAAATTTTAATTGTATTGTATGAGTATTTTAAGCAACACTGGTTGTATGTGACAGAAAACCAACTCAAGTTTATTTAAATATTCATTTACTTATTTATTTGAAGGATTTATTTGAAGGGCAAACCTCACATAACACTGCAAAGGTGAAGTTGGGAACTAGGGATGCTAGGGATGTGAATATCCTCATTTCTTGGCCTGTTGGCCTCATCATCTCATACCATCTTCCCTCTTTCAGCAGGAAAAAAGGTGGACAGAGACCAGTCATGAGCCTCACAACAGATAGCTTTGCTTCCACAGAGACGTTAATCATCTTCCCTCCTTCGGGTTCAAAAGTCCTGGAGAAGAGCTCTGATGAGCTTGTTCTGAGTCAAGTGGCCATCCTGAGGTGAGGAGTCATCTGCAGCCAGGAGAACACCCTGATCTGCCTGAGTCAGGTGCCTATCCTGGGTGAATCCACAAAAGCAAGGAGGGCAGGGTCAAATAGCAAAGACATGAGAAGTGAGTACAGTCTCAATCCTTGCCACCCAGAGGTCCTCCAGATCATGTGGAGATTGATAGAAATTAAGAACCTGGGGCCCCTGGACCTACTGAACCAGAATCTGCATTTTGTTCCCCAGGTGATTTATTTTATTATTATTATTTTTTAAAATAAATTTTATTGATTTTTCACAGAGAAGAAGGGAGAGGGATAGAGAGCTAGAAACATCGATGAGAGAGATACATCGACCAGCTGCCTCTTGCACCCCCCCCCCCCCCCGGGGATGTGCCCGCAACCAATGTACATGCCCTTGACCGGAATCGAACCTGGGACCTTTCAGTCCGCAGACTGACGCTCTATCCACTGAGCCAAACCAGTTTTGGCACCCCTGGTGACTTATGTACACACTCAAATTTGAGGAGCATGGGACACATTAACCAGGGACAATTGTTCTCTATTTCTTCAGAGGTTGGGAGAATTAGACCTGGTTTTAGGTTGTAGCAGAAAGCATTTCAAGGAAATATTTGCAAGATCATCTTACATGTTTAAAACATAAAATATAATGTTTTTTAAAAAAGTTTTGGAATTTTATTTTTGAGCAAATGTTGCATAATTTTTCTCTGGAATAGTTTGTCACATTTGCAAGGGAATAGACATTTCAATTTCCTTTACTGTCCCATCAATTTTATAACAAGTTTATCTATTCTTATTTCATAGCCCAAACACTGATTACTAGCTCCTAGAAATTTTCATTTTCTAAACCACTGACCTGTTTCCTCCTTATTCCCCACTCTCATTATGTTTTCCCCAGATTATTTTTATTAAATTGTTGGACATTGAACATGGTAACTTCTAAGGCAGAGTCCTGTGGTGATATCAATACACTGTCTGGGATTGTTATTATTATTACATGACCTGCAATTTCATTGACTTATTATTCTAGTAGCACAGTAATTTTAAGGAATATGGCTTCTTGTCTATGTTGAAGCATTTTCCTTTCATTTTTCTGAACATGTGGCTGAACTGTTTCCAAAGCCACAACTATCCATTTGAATTGTAATGAAACTGGAGTAGCCAAAGGCTACTTCCATGTGGTCCAAAGATGTACTGGAGGCAGCTGAACTGCTACTCCTTCAGGAAGTAGGCCCCGGAGAGAACTAGGAACCGGTCCTACTGCAGATTACCCAGGAACCAATGATGATCAGTTTCACTGGCAACTTTTTCCATCTAGATCAGATTCAGAAACTATCCGGGGGGATGATTTCCTAAAACCTGAAATGGTCCCAGGTGAAGACACCCTGGTTGGCAGATGCATTAGGCCGGTAGGTGGGTTGTTCTCGGATAACCAGTCTCAGCCAATCTGGTATGCCTTGTTATTGTTTGTATGGGTTTATGGAGGCCTTGATTGTCTGGTATCAATCAAGGATAATGTCACTGACTTTTCCAGGTAACAGAAGCCTAACTCATTTAGTTTGAAAACTTAATTTTCACCTTATTTTCATGCTTATATTTCTGAAGGAGAATATTTGGAGTAGGGCATTTCAAAGATAACTTGGGAAATGTAATGGGACTTTAAGAATAAGTACAGGTGGCAAGAGGCTTCATGAATGCTGTCCCGAAGGCACCAGGATCATCTATTCCAAATCTATCCAAAAGTATGAATTTTTATTGATATATACAAATATTTCCATGGAAGAAAAATGCCAGATTAAAAAAATTTTTTGTGATGAATTTCAAGTAAATTTATGAGGTAGTCAGTTATGGGGAAAAGGGGTAGAGAACCTCTTTTCTCTGAGGGTTTCTTAAGTTTGCCCTCTGTGGCCACACCTATAATGTTAGAATAAGTTTAGCAGCAAACCCAGAATCATTATTCTGTATAACAACATTTGGGATCTCCTCTGGAGACAAATGCAATATTCTTGAAAATTAGTTAATCTTAGAAGTGTGTGGTGTCCCATGTGGCCTTAGCATGACACATCGGCCCCTGAAGGCACTGCTGAAATGTTGTCCTTATGCTGCAGACTGTATATTCTCCTTTTCCTCATTCATTACTTTTTTCTGTCTTCCAAGTACCCATTTTTTGTTGCCATTTTGAATTTCTGACATTATCCTTTTGTGGTTCCTCCATCTCCCCCATTCATGTTTTGGACTTTTGTATTACTGAAATTGTTTCTTTTTCATATGTGAAAATCTTCATACTGCTTATAAATAATATGTGGTGATTGTAAAAAATTGTAAGACATTACAGCATTTAGAGAAGTAAATTTTAATTACCTATTAAATATATATAATTTCTTGAATCATTAAGATCATACTGTATGTTTATTTATTTTGACATTTTTTATTTTTCAATTACAATTTATGTGCAATATTATATTAGTTTCAGAGTTTCAGGTGTCCAACTCAGTGATTAAATATTTATATAACTTACAAAGTGTTCCCCTCAATAAATCTATTACCCATCTGACACTACACATAGTTATTACAATATTATTGACTATATTCCCTATGCTATATTTTACATCACTATGATTATTTTGTAACTGTCAATTTGAACTTCTTTTAAAAAAGTCATTTTACTGTTTATACCGCAGTCACATTCTAACTATTGCATGACAGAGAGAACAGAGATCTGTCATGCAAAGTAAAATTAAGTGAAGGCTTTCCTAAAGCTGGAGAAGTACCACAGAAACACAGGATGGCCGCAGCTCCCTCAGATAACAGCGCCAGGGGGTTAAGGCATCAGATTTTTTTCTTCAGGAGGTTTCAACCTGCCTGTGCTCCTTTTAATCGAGCCTTCGTGATGGTCTGTGCCATTTGCGAGGGAAAGATTTCAGTTTGGTCTTTGCCCGGCAATCTGATGATGACTTGTTCAGCTCCAGTTCCCGGCCTGGCAGTCATGGTTGCTACAGACAAGCCACAGTGTCTTCCTCTACAGGAGTCAACTTGACCCCTCGTGTTGCTAGGAGGAGGCCACCGGAATTCCCATTCTTCCTCAATTTCTACTTCTTAATCTCTTCACCTTTCTCACCCATCCCAGCAAGCCCCCTCCCATCTGACAACCATTAAAATGTTCTCTGTATCTATGTGGTCCACTTGTTCATTTATTTATTTTTTTTAGTCCCACATATAAGTGACATCATGTTGTCTTTCTCTATCTGACTTATTTCACTTAGCACAGTACCTCTAACTTCATCAGTGTTGCAGATGATAAGATTTCTAATTTTTAATGGCTTCTGTGTCTTAGCTATTCTATAAAATAAAAGCCCAATATGCAAATTGTTCCCTCAACTGGGAGTCTGACCAGAGGGCAGGGCCAGCTGGCCAACTGCAGGAAGGGAGGTCCTGGCCAGCATCAGGCAGCCACCTGGGGAAGGGAGGTTCTGGCTGGCAGTGGCAGGCAGCCAGGGTAAGGGAGGCCCAGGCTGGCAGCCAGCAGCTGCTAGGGATCCCACCCATGCATGAATTTCATGTACTGGGCCTCTAGTTGTAAATAATGCTGCAATGAACATATGAATGAAAATGTCTTTTTGAGTTGCTGTTTTGGGTTTCTTTGGATAAATACCCAGAAGTGGAATTGCTGGGTCCTTTTTTATCTCCTGTCTATTTTGTATGATATAAGTGTTGCTACCCAGGGTTTTCTTTTTCTTTTCATTTTCATGAAATATCTTTTTTTATTACTTTACTTTCAGTCTGTGTATGTCTTTTGATCTGAAGTGAATCTTTAATAGATAGTATGTGTGAGGGTCTTATGTTAGTATCCATTCAAGCCCCAATGTCTTTTGATTGGACCATTTAATCCATTTTCATTTAAAGTAATCATTGATAAATATGTATCTATCTATCTCCTCCTCCTCCTCCTCCTCCTCCTCCTCCTCCTCCTTTTCCTCCTTCTCTTTCTCCTTCTTCTTCTAGAAGGCTTTTTAACATTTCTTGTAATACTAGTTTGGTGGTAATGAACTCCTTTAGCTTTTTCTTGTCTAGAAGCTCTTTATCTGTCCTTCCATTCTAAATGATAGTTTTTCTGAGTAAAGTAAGCTTGGTTGTAGGTCCTTGCTTTTCGTCATTTTGAATATTTTGTGCCAATCCCTTCTGGCCTAAAATATTTCTGTTGAGAAATCAGTCTTATGGGAGCTCCCTTATAGATAACTAACTGCTATTTTCTTGTTGCTTTTAAGATTCTCTCTTTGTCCTTAACCTTTTACATTTTAATTATGATATGCCTTGGTGTGGGCCTCTTTGGGTTCATCTTCTTTGAGACTCTTTTCACTTCCTGGATTTGTATGTCTATTTTCTTCACCATGTTAGGGAAGTTTTCTGTCCTTGTTTTTAAAATAGATTTTCAATTTCTTTCTCTCTTTCTTCTCCTTTCAGCACCCTCATGATGCAAATGTTAGTATGCTTAAAGTTGTCCTAGAGACTCCTTAAACTGTTCTCATATTTTTGGATTATTTTTTGCTGTTCTGATGGGGGTATTTTCTGCTTCCTTATCCTCCAAATTGCTGATTTGATCCTCTGCTTCATCTACATACTGTTGATTCCCTGTAATATATTCTCTATTTCAGTAACTATAGTCTTCATTTCTGAATGGTTCTTTTTTATATTTCCTATCTCTGTTGTTGTTTCCTATTTCTTTGTTGAAGTTCTCACTAAGTGCATCTACTCTTCCCCTAAGTTTACTGAACATCTATATAATCAGTGTTTTGGCCCCATGCTTCTGGAAGATTTCTTGTCACCATTTTATTTAGTTCTTTTTCTGGAAGCTTGTTCTGTTTTTGTTTTTGTTTTTGTTTTGTTTTTTCATTTGGCACATGTTTATTTGTCTCCTCATTTTGCCTACCTCCCCGTGTGTGTTTGTAATTATTAAGTGGAGATACTACATCTCCCAATCTTGGTAGAGTAGTCTTATGTAATAAGGACCCCATGGAGCCCAGTGTCACATTCCTGGTTACCTGAGCTGGGCATTCCAGGTATGTCTCCTTGTGGGATATGTGCACCCTCCTGTTTTAGTTGAACCTTAATAGCTCTTGGCATGTCAATTTGAGGGAATTACCCCACCCCCAGACTGATAGGTTGGGAGAACTGGCTGTGACTTCAGGGGAGGAACTGCTCAACCCTAAAGAGCAGGACTGCTTCGGTGGGGTTCTGGTACTCAGTGAGTCTACCCCTTGAGTGTGTCATTTGTGGAGGTGGGTTGGTCGTCTTCTAGTATGGTCTATAGCTGACTACTGGTTCTGGAGCCTCCTAGGAAGTACAGACCCAGATCATCTGCCACCTCTACTCAGCTCAGGGCCACCCAGCATGAGCTACAGAGTGGTCTGCATTTGGCTTCTACTTAAACTGGGGCTTAGAGGTGCCTAGGTGAGGCCAAACTGCGAACCAAGGCAGGCTGCCACTAGTGTGGATGGGGTCACTTAGCAAGAGGAATGGGGCATATTGAGGCCAGATACTGCTTGTTTGGGATCTATGAATCTTTGAGAGATTTTAGGGAAGTCCACAGCATGAGCCAAAACTGGCCACTAGTATGAAGAAGCTGCTGGAAAAGGATCTATTGGGCCCATAACTTAGATGAGGTGGGTCTCGGGGAATCACCAAGGTGAGGGGCATTGTTAGCCTTTCCTCTCTGTGTGGGGAGGGCTCATCCAGGAACAATAGCCTCTGCCAGAACTTCTGTCTGGGAAAAAGCTTCATCTCCAACTCTTATCCCAAAGCCAGACAATTTGGTTCCTTCCCGTGTGTCCCTGGTGCCTTTTGAGCTATTGCTCCAAAGCTGGAGTTCAGAGTTACTGAGTTTATGTTAATGTGTGTGGGGGACCCTTTGAGAAGAATGCCCGAGAGTCAGCAGCCCTCCATCTCATTCAGCCATAATCTCTGCTGGTTTTTATAGCCAGAAATTATGGGCACTTTTTTTTTTTAAGCCTCAACTAAGGATATGTCTTTGATGATGATGATGATGATGATGATGATGATGATGAGAGAGAGAGAGAGAGAGAAAGAGAGAGAGAGAGAGAGAGAGAGAGAGAGAGAGAGAGAGAGAGAGAGAGAGAGAGAGAGAGAGAGAAGAGAAATATTGATGTGTGAGAGAAATATCAATTGGTTGCCTCCAATACATGCCCTGACCAGGGATTGACCTTCAATCCTTTTTCTGTATGGGATGATGCTCAACCAACTGAGCTACCCAGCCAGGTATTAGGACTTCTCTTTCTGGCATTGGAACTCTGGGGTGGGGAGCCTGCAGTGAGCCTGTCCACCCCCTCATGTCTCAGGGGGGACATCTGTAGCCAATATAACCCTCCCAATTTTTTAACTGCTGCCTGTGGGTGTGGGACCAGACTGTTTCTTTTTATTTTTTTATTTTTTTATTTTTATTTTTTATTTTTTTAAAAAAAATATATTTTATTGATTTTGTACAGAGAGGAAGGGAGAGAGATAGAGAGTTAGAAACATCGATGAGAGAGAGTCATCGATCAGCTGCCTCTTGCACACCCCCTACTGGGGATATGCCCACAACCAAGGTACATGCCCTTGACTGGAATCGAACCCGGGACCTTTCAGTCCCCAAGCCGACGCTCTATCCATTGAGCCAAACCAGTCCCGGCCAGACTGTTTCTTATCTCTACTCCTCCTAACATTCTCAATGTGGCTGCTTCCTTATAGGACTGCTGTTCTAGATTTCAGGCAATTCTGAGTAATGGTTGTTCTGTATTTAGTTATCATTTTGATGGGGTTGTGGGAGATTTTGAGTACTGTATTTATGCTGTTTATTTTTGCATACATTTAAAAACTGGATACCTATAAGCATTCGATTGAAAGACTTTTTTGGAATGAGGATGAAAATGATGGAGGTGATGAGATAAATAATTTGACTTAGTGATTCATCTGTGCCAGGCCCTGTTCTAACCATTCTGCTGATATTTTTTTTTTCAATTAACTTCCATATCAACCCTATGATGCCTTTTCCTCTATTACAGATAAGGAAGTAGTAGGATAGCCAGATAAGTAATTCGTCCAATGTTCCATAGTGAGTGGATATTGTTAAAGCACTTTCTTATAATATTGAATATTTCATAAATCTCATTTTATTTTTTTTATTTTTATTTTTTAATATATTTTATTGATTTTTCACAGAGAGGAAGAGAGAGGGATAGAGAGTTAGAAACATCGATGAGAGAGAATCATTGATCAGCTGCCTCTTGCACACCCCCCACTGGGGATGTGCCTGCAACCAAGGTACATGCCCTTGCCCAGAATCAAACCCGGGACCTTTCAGTCCGCAGGCCGACGCTCTATCCACTGAGCCAAACCGGTCCCGGCTCATAAATCTCATTTTAAATGCCTGAGTAGAATTTTATTGCATGAATACATCATAATTGTTAGATATTGAGATTATCTCCAGTTTGGGTACCTTTCAGGTAATGCTGTTATGAACATCTTCGTTGACAGTTTTAGTTATTTCCACATGATAGATACCTGGACGTGAGCGGATGTGCCAAGGGGTGAAGATATTCATGGCCCTTGTCATTGCCAATTGCTTTCTAGGAAGACAGTTTCCACGTATAGCCCCTGAGGTAGTATATGAGGCTATGTATCTTATTACACTTTAGAAGTATTAACACTTATTGATATTTTCATTATTTAGAAAAGAAAAAATATATCCTATATATTTTTAAAATTTTAGTAACATGAATTATATTGTTGTTGTCATTTTCAGTCAATAGCACTGCTCACAGCACACAGAGAATTAGGGGTGGGAGACACCCCATTCCCAGATGAGAAAAGGTAATGAGTCAATCAGTTCTGAGCCTAGTATCTTCTGTTTATTATTCTTGGTAACCTTGGTCACAACCACTGATTCACTACCAGGAATGCATATTTGACACATGAGTTTCTACATAGATCCAACCCTATCTATTAGTAAAATAGGGGAACAAAACAACCTAACTAGACATTACATTAAATTTGATATATACATTATCCAGCATTAAAACAGGAAAAACAAGCAAACAAGCAAGCCAGGCAATGGACTCTGTACATTGTTAGCAAATTTGATTGGCACTCAATTCAAAAGTAAATAACAATGTTGAGAAGAGTTCCTTGTGGCAGTTCTGTTAGTTAGCAGGGTTTTCCCCTTATTTTCTGGTTCCTGGTAAGTGTAGATAAGAAAGGTTCACAGAATATGGAATTAAATATACAATGCTTCCTGTATATAGAATGTTGGCTACATGATAAAACTTGGGCCTATAATATGCAAGAAAAAACTGGTTAATGTGAGGTTGTAGTTATGTCAGTTAAACTAAACTGTTGTTAAAGTTCCCTGTATTATTACTCTAGACATGGCAGAGGGTGTAGTCTGAAATCCCCCATCAAGCCCCGACGGGCGGGGAGGGTGTGCAGTCTCAGGTCCCCAGCCCAGCGGCTGAAGAGGGGGCACAGCCTCAGGTCCCCCGACAAGCTGGGTTGGGGCGGGGGGAGCGCAGCCCCAGGTCCCCTGACCATTTTGGCTGGGTCAGCTGGTTTAGTTTCAACTGCCTTCAAGTCGACGTCGCTAATATAGGGATGGATTATTAGAGACAGATGGTTCAAAATAGCAGAACTGTCTGTGTTAAAAATGCTGACTTGTCACTAATTAAATGTGTGACCTTACTCAATTTGTTGGATTACTCTTTGCCTCAGCTTACTCATCTGTAAAATGTAGATAATACCATTACCAAACTCATGAAATTTCTGTGAGGGGGGAAAACAAAAGAGATAATTAGCAGAAGCTCTAAGTACCTGGCACACAGTAAGTGCTAAATAAATATCACCTATTCTTATTATTACTACTAAATAAGAAGTAGTCTTGTTATTGTTATTCTATGTATTCCAACTCTTACTACTAAGGAAAGTTGCTTGCCTGCTCCCTCTCTTCATCAGGCTAATGCTTTATATATAAATAGTGTTGGAGTAATTGCAATCACGTGTCTGGAGCCAGCATGCCGGCAAGTCAACCTGGAAGTGCCTCGTGGCCACGGCGAAAAGATCACCTAAACATCTGAGGCTTGTACAGGGCTGGCCCAGTTCTTGCAGAGGGGCTTCTATTTCAAGAAGGAGTATGGCTTCTCATTAAAGAGGTTGATCTCAAGATTTTGAATAACTTTGTTTTACATAATACTTATATCAGATTGCCAGCAGATTACTCCACTCCAAGCTTTAGCTGCCCATTTCTACAGCCTTTCAGGGTGACATGTCTTCCCTTCAGAGGGCTCTGGTTTGGCGCCTTGCTGGCTGTGCCTCTCTCAGGCCTGGCTTCATGGGTGAGAGACCTCTGTTAGATACGGCCCTGCACTCAGACTGATACTGTGCTTGGTTTAATGCTCTGCTGTAGTTGTCTTGAAATTCTTAATGGTTTTGTCTTTTGGCCGATGTTTGTAAGTGAAGTCTGATGGGTTAATACATCATGGATGTATGGATGTATGTATAGATGGATGTATTTTATTGTTTAAAGTATTACATATATCCCCCTCCCCCCACAAGGTGCATCATGCATTTAAGTAGAGGAGAAACATGCAATAGGTGTGTCTTTCATTTCTTTTCTTTCCATTTGCATATAATAACATTCACGATGTCTCATGACTACAGAATTTGGTTGGACCCACAACATATTGGAGGTCAGTGGGACTCGAATTGAGTACAAAGTGAACCTGCTGCATTTATGGCTGAGTAAGCAGTTCCCTGTCAGCCTAGAGAGGCTGTGATTCCAGTTTGACCAAGAACTTTGTTTGAATTCAGAAGAAAGCAGTGACATTCTGAGAAACACAAATGACCCAGAAATTGTATCGTATCCTTCATTATTTACCAGTGGCTGGTGCACAAAATTCATGACATTAAAAGGGGACTAATTAGAGGAAATATTTTAATATTGCTATTTTCCCTTTTTCTGCAATAGAAATGTCAGAGGTGAAAGAAAATTAGTAAAATGTATATGAAAATCTTCCTCCTGTCAGAGTCTGCGGTGTGCTGTGGGATCCAGAGCCAAGTCTCTGCCCATCTGCAATGCTTCAACATCATGCAAGACCCAGACCCAGCTGGCCCCACCCCCATTGGGCAAGATCCAGACCTGGCTGGCCCCACCCTTGTCAAGCCCCACCTGGTTGGGGGGTGCAGCATCAGGTCCCCAGTCAAGCCCTGCCGGGTGGGGAGCACAGCCTCGGATCTCCTGGCAAGTCCTGCTGGGTGGGTGGTGCAGCCTCAGGCCCTCTAGTGCTGGGGTGTGGGGTGCAGCCTGACGACTCCTGACCTGGGGTTGGGGAGAAGCCTGAGGTGCCCTGGCCCAGCACTGGGGCGGGGGGGCTCACCTTGAGGTACCCTGTCAAGCTCTGCCTGGTAGGGGGCGGGGCCTGAGGGCCCCTGTCAAGCCCCACTTGGTCAGG